TTTATCTCATAGTTTTCCTTGTCCACCATTTCAGGAAGTGAAACCGAGGACGGGGAAACCACGGGAAGTGACGAGTTAGAAGGCTAGCCATATTGTAATTGGATATAAATTTTAGATATGAATCATGATCTTGTATTTGGAGATTTTATTGGAGATTTATGATATCAGAGTAAATTTTAAAGATTTGATCTTCAGATTTTGGTGGTATCAGAGTATGAGATGATTAAGTTCCGAGCCTTGTGCATTTGTGGGACTCGTCTCACGAGTGCACGGCGTCTGTCGCGTCTCGAAATTGGGTTTTGGGGCGTGACAAATTAGCTTTCTTTTAAATAAGTTTTAATATATTATAAAGTAAAAGGAAAAGTAACAAAATAACAAAACTTTGTAGTATGTATTTCTTATTTAATCATATTCATCATATACAAGTCATACAAACTTGTAACCTTGTATAGATTAAAGGAAATGCAGGGGTTATATTGGCCATTAAATATAACTAAATAGATGAATGAATGACACCTTAGTAGGGCTTTGAATGACCCTTAATGGAGCCATGAATGACACTTTAGTGGAGCTTTGAATAACCTTTAGTGGAAATGAGTTATAATACGGAAGAAGATAAAAGGGGAAAGTGAAGCATCCACTAATAGGAAAATCACAATATTTCCTCTTGTATGTTCACCTTTTTGTGCTATATGTTTTTAAACTACCTCATTAAAAAGGGCAGTGATTGGTATACACTTAATTCAACACACTGCACAATACACTCATTACAAAATCACTATTTTTTAGTCTGAAATTAAAAGCAAATAAGTTTAAAGATACAATCATACATAAATGATGCATGAACTGGCTGAATCGACTGTATTTATATTATATTTTTAATAGTGAAACCGAAAGTGTGTTAAAAATGTGTTGAACTGAGGGTGTACAAATCATTTTTCCATTAAAAAATATAGTGGGATAAAATCTTATTTAAAGGGAAAAAAAGTGTAGTACATATAATGCTCCCCCTCCAATGAAGTTCTCCAAGGTATCGTGTGTCTATATTGTATACATGTTGTTTAAAACTTTAATAGGCAATGATTTTGTAAAATGATTTATAAGATTCTCATTTAAACTAATTGATTGGATATCTATTTTAGTAGCAATTTTAATTTTATGTGTAGAACAAAACTTTAGAGAAATGTGTTTGGTTATATCTCCTTTGATATATCCTTCCTTTAGTTGTGCAATACATGCAATATTGTTCTTATACAATAAGGGTGGATTTCTTGCAATTTATGTAAGGCCACATGTTTTTTAAACATGTTGGACAAAGATATTAACTACAAATATTCTCAAGTACTTAAATAGTTTAACCAATTCTAAGTAATTTAATGATGTGGCTACGTTTTCTATTTGGTTAAATATCCAGAATTTGCAATACTACCATATATGAACAAATATCTAGTTTATTATTGTTCTTTATGTAGATCAGAAAAATATCCAATATCTACATACCCAATTAACTCTAGTTTTGAGTTTTTTAAATAAAATAATCCTATTCTTTTATTTTTTGAAAATTACAAAATAAATACTTAATAACATTTCAATGCCTTTTATCTTGGTGTAGAATTATATCTCATTAACAGATTCATATAAAGCACGATATCATGTCATATATTGTTAGTTAAATACATTAATATACTCATAACACTCAAATATGGTACTTTAGAACTAAGAATTTTTTCATATCTTCACGAGGTAAAAGGGACCTTGTGTTACATCAAAGGATTGAACAACCATTGGTGAGCTGAGATGATGAGATTTATCCATATTAAATCTCTTTAATATCTTTTCTACATAATTTGATAAATGGACAAAATTTTCATTTGATAAGTACTCGATTTGTAAACCAAGATAGAACTCTAAGATATTTTATTTCAAATTCTTTTATTAAACATTCAATTGCCTTTTCAAGCACTTCAAGTATTCCAATGATGTATATGTCATCAACATATACTACATTAATAACAAAATCAAGGTTTGACCTCTTTGTAAAGACACATGTTTATTCGCATATTCTTCTTTCAAGAGATATTCACTATAAGGTGCTTGTACCACATTCACCTTATTTGCTTCAACCCATTCAAAGATGATCTTAATTTTATTAAAAATATCTCTCTTGACATTGAATTGTATACTTCATGCATCTTAAGTCTAGCAAAGACTTTCATGTAAATGTCACTATCAAGGAATTCATAGTAAGCAATTATAGCATCTATAAGATGCATTTAAAGGCCTTCAAAAACTACTAAACTTATCAAAAACCTACATATAGTTGCATCCATCGTAGGAGAGTTTGTTTGCTCATAATTAATGTTAGGTATTTATGTAAAACCTTGATCTTTATGTTTAGCTTTGTATTTCTTAACCTCATTTTTCTCATTTCATTTTCTCATGAATATCCATTTGTAACTAATAAGTTTTATATTATTGGGGGTTTGGACAATTAGTAAAAAAACTTGACATTTTTTCTAATGATTTCAATTCTACTTGAATTGCATCTTTCCATTTTAGCCAATCACTTCTTTGTCAACATTCTTCAATAGATTTTGGTGAAAGATCCCCTTTTTCATTAACTACATTATTGGTTATTATATATGTAAAAATATCGTCAATTGCAATATCATTGCAATTCCATTTTATCTTAGAAGAAATATAATTTATTGAAATATCATCATTATCTATGATTTTTACATCTTATTATTTTCAAGTACTTGAATCTCTCTAGAATTATTTACTTGTATACATTATCTAGTTGTTTTTTAAAGAACTCTTAAGGCTCTACAATTTCAGTAAAGTTGGCATTTTGCTTTTTGTTTCTTTTTCTTTTTGGATTTTTATTTTTGAAATTGATAGATTTAACATGCTTTTAGCATATAATATATTTATGTGCTAAAATCTTAGCACTTTTTTCAATAGGAATATTAATTCGAGTTAGTGCGTTCAAAGTTGAGATATGTAAACTACTTATTTTCTTTGCATTAGTGAACATACATATTAGGCAATTGATTTGTAATATTTTGTAAACGAATAATTTTCTAGACTTCTAACTTACTTTGACTTGCTTTAGGATTTAAATGAGACATATATAATACATCTTAAATTAATTCTTGTTTTTTCAACTTTTACTCCTCTCATCCCTAATATTGGGAACAAGTTTCCATCAAAATGACATTCAATAAATTTTGTTGTAAAAAGATCATCAGTCATTGGTTTAAGATATTTAATTATAGTTGGTGATTTTAAACTAACATAAATTTCTTGTCTTTTTTAGGAATCCATTATAGTGCATTGTATATAAGCAATATTGAACAGATACAACACAACCAAAATTCTTTAAATGAAATATATTTGATTCAATCCCAAAAATAAGTTGTTATGGTGAATGTTTATGATAAACAATTGGGTTTAATCAAATTAGTGCTACAGCATGTAATATAGCATGGCCCTGAGTAGAAAAGATAATCTTAATCTCATAAGTAGCGGTTTAACAATCAATTGTAGACACTTAGAATCTGTTTGATATGGCTGGAGTTTTTAATAGAAGTCCTCTTAGAAAGAATTTACTGTAAAAGTGTTGTTTTTGAGAATGTGAAAGTGTTTGGTAAAATTTTTATAAAAGTAATTGTAGAGTGCAAAGTTGTTTGATGAATTTTTTATAAAAGATCTTCTAATCTTGATGTAATACCCCAAAAATTTCTAGAACAATTAAGTGTGAGCTAGAGACCTAATTGTGAGAAAATAATATTGTTGAGCCTAATCACAAAATTTTCAAATTTGAGGGACTTAAAAGAGAAAAAATTAGATAAGGATGGCTGATTTTTTTTCCTTCTTTCTTTCTTCTGCAGCCGCCCGATTCTACTCTTCTTCTTCTCCCTTACGCCGACCAAGAGCCCAGCCACCAACAACAGCATCCCCTCTGAAAACCAGTAAGAGAGCTTGATTTTCCTTTCTTTTCTTGTTCAAGAACAAGATTTAGACTTAGAAATCTTCCCCTCTGCAGAAGAAATTTCTGGATCTGCTCTGCTCTATTCCTTCCGTTTGTTACTCTTGCTTGTGGGTGTGATTTTTCTGGTTTCTGGTAAGGGAAAAACAACCACTAATTCCTCTTTTCTCCCTTGATTTGGCTTAGTTTACTCTAATTCCTCTTGGTTTCTCCCAATTTTTGGTAGATCCCGAATTTCCCCCTACACTTTTTGCCGGCCTTCCCCAAACTACAGCTCCAGTTTTTGCTTGCTGAATTTTGGTATGTGACAGCTCAATCTAAGTCCAAATTACCCCTTTAGTTGCTGAATTTCTCCATTTAAATTGCTGCCCTGTGCTGTCCGAAATTCTGCACAAATAAGGGATGAATTCCGGTAGGGATTAGATCAAAATTAAGCTTAATTCAAGTAGAATTTATGTGATTGGGTATTAATTAACTGCTGTGAGGTTCTGGAGAAAAAATCCTGTGAATTAGCTATTGTTTTGCCAAATTTCTTAAAGTTGCAGTTACTGTTCACTATGTGAGTACTATTCATGGGTACTGTTCATGCACTAATGACTATTCATGCAGTGTACTTTAATTTCTCTTAATATGGAGTTTTATGGGATATGTGAGCTGTGTATGTGTATATTAGTATACATGTAGATAAAATGGCGTCATGATTAGGGAGTAGTCATGGTGGTGATTTCTTTTGGATCCATGGTAGTGTGGTTATTAATTCTGGAATATTTTAATTAGGTTCTTGATTTTCTGTCACCCTAGCACTTGGAGTGAATTTTTTGTGTTATGTGACCAAGATAAGTAAATTATGGTAACGCCCTTTGATTTTAAAGTAAAAGCATATTTTAAATTGTTTTTGAGATGGTGGCAAGGTTTAAATTGATTTCATTAGCACCGAGCATGATTGGTTTGAAATGGAATTATTATCATTTTCATTGAGTAGAGCATGCCTACTTGGAGTTTGCTTAACTGCCCTGATGATCTAAGAATTTTTGTAAATTATGATTTTCCTGTTAAATCCATGCCCACATGGAATTTTTCTGGTTTATTCTTGGAATTTGATATTGATTGTGAATTACGGATTTTTTCTGTAAATCCTGCATGGTTTTGTCTCCAATATGGTCATGTTTTACTATGCTCGCTAGTGGAAGGTTTATAAACGCTAACATATGTTGACATGTTTACTGACAGGACCAATTCATTCTGTAATCCTGCCAATGGAATAATACATTGGTTATTACTGAAATCTTGCCAATGGGATAATACATTGGTTATTACTGACACCTGCCAGTGGGAGTCAAACATTGGCCATGACTTATAGATGAGACTACTACTGAAGCTTATTCTGCATTAACTGTCTATCATTGAATGTTTTGTTACGTTAAACTATTTACTATTGAAGCTTATTTTGCATTAACTGTTTATCATTGAACATTTTGTTACGTTAAACTGTTTACTACTGAAGCCTATTCTGCATTAACTGTTTATCATTGAACGTTTTGTTACGTTAAACTGTTTATCAGGCATGCTAAAATTGTACTCACGAGCTACCCATATTTTTACTTATTGAGATATCTTATCTCATAGTTTTTCCTTGTCCACCATTTCAAGTAGTGAGGCCCGAGGCACAGTTAACCAGGTGGAGTGACGAGCTAGATGGCTAGTCAGTATTTTGGACTTAGATCCTTTTTGGGCTTAGGCCATTAGCCACACATGCTTGTCATAGATAAAAAACGATAAATCATTTTTTTGTATACTGATTTTCTTTGGTTATAGCCATGACTGTTTATAGACTTTGTACATCTGGACTAACAAAATTTTGGTAACTGAAAGCTAGTTATTAACCGAGTTTTCTTATTTAAGTTATGTAAATTGGTAATTATGAACACAGTAAGTTCTGAGTCTTGTGCATTTGTGGGACCCGTTCACGAGTGCACGGCGTTTGTTTCGCTCCTGATTTTGGAGCGTGACACTTGAAATGGCTGAAAGTAACATTCTCTTTAAAAAATTATTATTTCCCCCTTTTTTTCACATTTTTATAGAATTTGAATTCTTTTTTAATTTAATTTTGTTAAAGTTAATGATTACAAATAGAACTTTTATACTTATAAAATATAACTTTTAGTAATTAATAATTTTTTGGTTAAATCTCCATTTTGATCCCTGAACTATTGTATGGACCCCTGATTTGGTCCCTGAACTAAAGAAATCCCTGATTTAATCTTTAAACTATTGTACGGACCCTCGATTTGGTCCCCACTGTTTATAATATGGCCTAAGTTGGTCCTTGAACTATTGTACGGACCCCCAATTTGGTCCTTACTGTTTACAATTTCGCCCCAATTTGGTCCTTACTGTTTACAATTTCGCCCCAATTTGGTCCCTGAGCTATTATCTAACAGAAGGACCAAGATGGGGTTAAATTGGTAAACGGTAGGGACCAAATTGGACATCCGTACAATAGTTTAGGGACTAACTTGGGAGTTCGTAAAATAGTTGAGGGACCAACTCAGGGGTCCGTACAATAGTTCAAGGACCAAATTAGGGATTTCTTTAGTTCAGGGACCAAATCGGGGGTCCGTACAATAGTTCAGGGACCAAAATAGGGGTTTAACCTAATTTTAATATAAATAAATAAATACTTATATTTTAATATTAAAAAATAAAACATACTACTTTTAAGTTTTATAAATAAAAGAATAAAGATAAAAATTGAAAAACAATCATTTTGATTGACTTTTTCATTAAAAATGAAAAGAATATTTTCTTAAAAAAACATTATTTCTCTCTTTTTTTATAAAAAAAAAAGAATTAATTATCAAGAAATATATATCATTTATCAAGAATTCTATACTGATTTTTATTGAAAAAAAAATTAAATATATCATAGTATCATATATACAATCAAAGTCTTAATACTAGTCTAATAACTAAAGTACTCTAAAAAAACCACTACAATATCATTTGTTAGACAAATCCTCGCTTTCAGGCTCAAGCGCTTAGCAAAGCCCATTCTTTTGTTTACATTAAATCCTTATCTTCCATTTATGTTGTCTAATAGTCATTACACAATCCGCTAGACGAGATACCATTTTTTGAAATGTGAAAGCACAACTATTGTCTTTGTTCTTGATCTGTAAAAGTGATTTTGCCAGTATCAACTCTAACAAATGTTCTTCAAAATCAGCTTCATCTTTAAAAATTTTTGACATTGCTCAAAAAACATAGGACCAAGCTAGTATAACCAAAAACAATTCCATTATCAAAGATGGACGAAGAGCCATTAGATAACCAAAGCCTTTTGAAGACTCTACAACCGATGTTGCTCAACAACATCCAATGATTCATCATGTTTTTCAGGTTTGATTTCTCGAAATCTTGATAAAATCCTATTGAAATAGATCATACCCAAGCAAACAAACTTTATGTTGAATTTGAGTAAATTAGACCATCAACACTCAACAATGCTTCTTAAAAAAAAAAAAAAAAGATTAGTAACACCTTACAAATAATAAAAAATTATTAGAAAAAAATTAATACCTCTCAATAATTTCTTCAAAGTTGCCTTTTGAATCATCCCCAAAGAGAATGGCAAGTACTCCATAGATTTTATATTTGGCATGCACACTAAGAAAAACTTGTATTTAGCCCAATAAGTATCTAATTCTAAAATTTATTATTGTCTTATATGTAAAACTTGTATTCAGTTATATGTAATTTCAATATAGAGTTTCTTCATATATAATGGAAACCAGTCAAGAGAGTACAAAACCATAAAGCATAACCACCTGCTATTTAGCCTTAGTTCCATCATGTGAACAAAGAGGTCAATGCATCAATGGTGCACTAGCTAAGAAACATATATTCCAACTAATTCTTCATGTTGCCTTGAAAATTAAAGCATTGCATACTTGAAAGTGGACTTTTTAACTAAGATTATCACCAATTAAACTAAATGGAAAAAGCACAAAGCAAACAACAATAAAGGAAGATATGATCAAAGATGTGCATTTGACGACAAAAAAAAAAAGAACCTTATTTGCTCCCTAATTCCATTACATGACTAAAACCATTCATCGGAGAGACAAACATCTTTAAACATCCTAATCAATGGACAACCCTTATTTTTATTTTTCCACAAAAACTACATTACCCAATTAAAAAACAACAATCGAGAGAATCTACATTTAATTCATATAACTATAATTAAGCATCTGATGATCATTGACTTCAAGCTATTCAACCTATGTTTCTTTTGGCATCTTCTACTTTTTCTTCGTTATTTTGCATTTAAAATCCAAATCATCCTAAAATCAACTACGATTACTACACAATCTAGAATTAGTGTCATTCAACGTATCAATAAAAATGGCCTTGTTTTGTTAAAAAATAATGATTTTTCTTTATAGTTATCCCTCTCAACTCAATGGTGCAATATTTGCTAAAAAGGATATACCTAGGACTAAGAATGCAGAAGGTAAATCTACAGGACAAAATCAAGTCCTGTAGGGAATCAGGTACAGTAGAGTAATAATATGATTGTGAACACAAATGCTGAGGGTAATGAATAATTTCAAAATCTACACCCACCTTTCTACAGGGGCACAGAAGATGCTAGCAATGCCTAAATTTGGGTAAAAAGGTTAGAAAAGATTTTTAGGATTCTAAAGTGTACTGATCAACAGAAGATGGAGTTAGCCATTTATCAGTTAGAGGGTAAAGCAGAAGATTGGTGGATTGCTGTATAGGATGGGATGACCAAGAGGGGTGGACAGGTTAATTGAGAGATATTTGTTGAACTTTTCTTTTAGAGATATTTTTCAGAAGCTGTTCTAGAAAGGAAAGAACAAAAGTTTATGAACTTAAGGCAAGGAGAAATGACTTTGGATGAGTATCAAGCAAGATTTAGTGCTTTAGCCCCGTTTGCACCTCATGTGACTAAAGATGAAGCTAAGAGGGCCAGAAATTTTGAGAAGGGTTTGAAGGCATTTATAAGTAACAAGGTTGTTCCTTTGAGACTCAAAACCTTTGATGAAGTCTTAATTACTGCACAGGTTGTTGAACAAGATCTAAATGAGCAGAAACAAGAAGGGGATGATCAGAAAAGCAAGGGAAAGGCAGTGACTACTTCACAGACCCAAAAGAAGATAAAATGGAAGGGAAAAAGAAAGGCAACAGAAGGATTCAAGTAGACTTCAGAGAGTTGCAAACAGTGTGGTAAAAACCATGGGGGCAGAGAATGCTACTGGACCATTGGCGCTGATTTTAAGTGTGGTAAAATCGAACACCTAATCAAGGACTATCTAGCCTTGAAGACAAGCAACCAACAGGCCATAGAGGTTGCAGAAAATAAAAGATAGAAGGTGACTGGAAGGGTTTTCACACTTATTGAACAGCAGGCACAACCAAATCCCACTATTATTAGAGGTTCATTGCCAATCTCTTCTGGA